GCTCAGAACCGCCTAGCACATAGCAAACACTAAGCTCTCAATAGCAGATTTTGTCCTCTTGGCCTGAACCATTCTTTAGCCTAGCACTTAGTGGGCGCTCAGTGAATACACCCTGATTGAACATGTGTGCCGATGGCGACCAACTGGGAATCGAACTGGTCTGTGGGGGGGATGGGGGGGGTGGCGCGTTCTTGGGAAGGCCTGGGCGGGCCTCAAGCACTCCCCGCCGCACCCCTCATGCTTGAGGCCAGAGGAAACTTTCAACTTTCTTCACTGGGAAAGTGTTGTGGGCCTGAGCGTTTGGGGGTTTTCAGAGTCAACCGTCGGAGGCGAGGGAGTTTCTCTGCGGGGCTCTCGGCGTGCACACGGCCTGCCTGCGCGCAGACCGCTGCGGTCTGCAGGGAAAATGCCGACTGTGTTTATTTTTCACCTGCGCCTGCAGGAAGTGGGGGGGCTGGGCCGGGGGTGGGGTGGGGAGGGCAGCCCAGCCAGGCCCAAGCTTGACTTCAGAGCAGAGGAGACTTACTCAGGAGTCCCCCGTTTCCACTCCAGCCTGGCCCTGGCCTGGCTCCATTCCTGGCATGCTGGGGTGCCAGGGTGAGGAATCTCTAGCCATGGGCTAAGGACGATACCCCAAAGGGACAAGGGCTACCTCTGGGACAGTGGATTGGAGTCTCTGTGCAGTGAGGGCAGTGCAGTGGCAGGAAGGACCCCCTCTGCTGGGAGTGAGCCCCGTCACGGGGCATCCAGCTAGAGGCTGGACCAGCACTGGCAGGAGAGGAGGAGTGACTTGGAGTAGCCCGAGGGTGTCTGAGTCCTGGGCCTTCCTGGGGTGCCACAGGCTGCTGGGGGAGGCAGACAGGGCTCGGACAAAGGGATAGAACAGGGTCTGGGTTGTCCTGATCAGGGAGCGTGGATTTCCGCTCATCCTGTCATTGGCGCATGTGCACACCACACCGTGCTCTGACGCCTACCACAGGCCCAGCGCTGTGTCTGGTGCTCTGTCCTCGGAGAAGAGATGAGGCTGTGCTGTTGAGGTGCTCAGGGGCTGGTGGGGATGGTCTACACAGGCCTGCCTCCTTCCCTTAGAGGCTGGGCACTCACTCTCAGGGGGAGGAAGAGGGGGAGCTCCAGTACACACGCCAGGCCCCAGGCGACCCCAACCTACTGTCTGGGCAGGCTGGCCCTGGGAAAGCCTTGTGCAGAGGCCCTGGAGCGGGACGTTCTGCTGGCTGCGGGGGGCATGGGGCACCGGGCCCTGTGCCACGTGGTTTCCCCTGGCTACCACCATCAGGCACAGAGGGAGCTGAGGACTAAGAGCTAAGAGGCAGCTGCGCGAATGTGGGACGGTCCGGCCGGCCCCTTAACGCCCTGCCCTGAAGCCCCCACCACCACAAGGCCTGCAGCTGCTGGTGGGTTCTCTGCTGCGCCCCTGCCCAGCCAGCACCATGGCTTGGTGGCGGACTCCTGTTCCATGAGGCTTCTCCCCAGTTCCCAGGGGAGGCTGGTGGGCAGGACGAGCCCACTGCCCACCAGGCAAGCTCCTTAACACTGCCCGTCACATGTAAACATGCCAGGCCAGCGGCTACAGGCTGAGCGAGATTCTGAGGTTTCTGAGGCTCAGCCTGAGCTATGCTGCAACCTGGGGCTCAGGCAGCAAAGCTGGACTGGAACCAGGGCCAGCGTGGCCAAAGAGGGTCAGCTCTGGCCCTCCCCTAGGCAGGAGGGCAAGTCCATGGCTTCCTGGCCCAAGCTGTACCCCCACCCCCAGCCCAGGGAAGAGTCCTTTCCTGAGAAACCTGCCATAGAGCCACCCTCTGCCTGCCTTAGAGCAGACCCCACCTCCAGCCCCCAATTCTGGGCAGAGACGAGACTCCAGGACCATCTTCCTAGCGCTGGCACCTTGGACCCTGGGCTTGGCTCCTAAGGCTTCTCAGAGTCAGAGCTGCCCACTCCACTCGCCAGGCCCCCAGTCAGTCCCAAGGGTTGAAAAGCCAGAGCCCAGGCTGACTGGGCCTTCTCTGAAGCAGGAGCTGAGACTCAAAGCCCTCTGGTGCTGGAGGGACCTGTGGAGGGTGTCATTCCTGCTGTTGGGCTGGGCCTCTAGGCACATGTGCCCTTAGGTGGTGAGTGGTGCAGTACTTCCTGCCAGGGTCCCACGTTCCTGAAAGAGTGGGCCCTGAAGCATAGTTTCCCTGCCCTCTGCTGCCGTGAGGCCTGCTCAGGGCTGATGCTGTCTGGCCAGCACTGTCCTGGGAACCTATCAGGATAAAACGGCATGAGGAGTTTATGGGAAACTTCCTACCTTAATAGACCCTGGGCTCGTGCTCCCCAAAAGCCTAGGACAAAGCAGGACTTTTGCATCTGTGATCAATGAGCTGGGTAGGACTGGGATTCTCATCTCCATTTTACAAGCGGAGAAACTGCAGGCTTAGGGAAGAGATTGGCTCAGGATCCTCTAGTAAAAAGGTCAGTAAGCCTAGAGCTGGTCTTGCCAGTCTACTTCCCATCATGGCACACTTAAAAACTCATCACTGGAGTAAATGGAAAAGGAGACTGGAGGATGCGGCATCCATGGGCAGTCCTGGTTGTTGCAAGCAAGGAAAGAAGATGCTGGGGTTGGGAGAGGAAGCTGCGGCCAGATCACAGAGGGCTCTGGAGGCCCCGGTCAGGAGACGCAGTGGAAGACAGGCTGATTCCTACGGCTGCTGGACGGAGGACCAGCAAGGGGGCAAGAGAGAAGCAGGAGTCCAGGGAGGAGGCAGCTGTAGTTGCCTAGGTGAAAAGTGATGGTGGCTTGGACTGAGTTGAGGACAAAGAAGAAGGAAAAATGGTGGGATTCTACATATATTTTGAAGGTAGGACATTAGGATTTTGCTGACAAATTGGACATGGGGTGTGTGAGAAAGAGAAGAGTCTAGGATGACCCCCAGGTTTTTGTTCTGAACAGCTAGAAAGATGGAGTTGCCATTCACTGAGGAAGGTGGAGAGGAAGCTTTGGGGCAGGTCAGAAGTTCTGATCTGGATAGACTGCAGGGAGGGGGTGGGAAATTTCAGACTCCTAAGCAGAGTTGAACAGGCTTTGGGAAAGTGGAGCTCCTAAGAGAAGTGGGACAGAAATGTGGAGTCCTCAGATGAAGATGTTTAAAGCTAGGAGTCTGGATGAGAGGGAGAGGATGCGGGCCAGAAACAAAGCCAAAAAGGAGGGCCTGTGAGGTTGGAGAAAAAGCAGGCAAGTGTGTGTGCTCTAGAAGCCAAGTGGAGAAACTGTTTTGAGGAGGGAGAAATCAATTGTCTGCCCTGTGGAGAGGCTGGGTAAAATGACTGAGAGTTGACCGATGAGTTCAGGATTGTGGAAGTCCCTGGGGACCTTGGCCAGAGTCCTCCAGTAGAGGGACGGAACAAGAGACTGGCTGGCTAGGCTGGAGAGAGAATGAGAGCTGAGAACTAGAGGCAGCTCTGTGAAAAGGAGCAAGACGTGAGCTGGTAGCTGGGGAAGCGTTTGCAGATGACAGCCTGTGCGTGGCTGTCATCAGAGGATGACAGATCTCATCCTCTGATGAGAAAGAGACTGGGCTGGTAAAGGGCTCGGCACAGCATGGGGCAGGTCCTCAGTACCTGAAGGGCATCGCATGTGCCCACACACCCTGCAGCTGCCCTGCCCCGGAGAGTTCACCCTTGCCAGCCACTCGCCTCCTGTCTGCCTGAGGTCAGAAGGAAGCCTGGGCAGCCCTGTCTGTGAGGCTCCTCCTGCTGGGCAGACAGGTGAACAGGGCCTGGCAAGAGGCAGCGGGGACGGGGGACGATGGATGGCAGGCCAGGGCTGTTGCTGGGAGGTAGGAGCCTGTGCCCAGGTGGAAGCTTCGTGCCTTGGCTACAGTGGGACTCATGCCCCACCTTCCCTTTAGCCTCACCAGGGACGCCTAATGGCCAAGTGCCAAGGGACCTGTGCCAGGAGTCCTCACCACGAGCTACCCTGACCTTCCCCAGCCTGGAGGTGAAGGGACCGTGAACCCCATGCATTACCAGAAGATCTTAATAAGTCTGGCTAAATTCACCCAGTGGGGAATGTCACTAGAGCGAGGAGGAGCCTAGGCCACAACCTTTCATTACTGTCTTGCCCCAAGGATGTCCCCGGCCGGCAGCGCTCCCTCCCTGGGCTGCTGGAGTGGGAAGCCGAGCCTGGGCTGTGTGTAGTGTCTTCAGGGCTCTGGCCTGCGCGCGTGTGTGCTGAGAATACTGGGGAGCTGGGCCTTGGCCCTGGCAGTGACTCCCTGCGGCCAGGTCTCCCCGGGGCCGGCTGCGTGGGGAGCCCCCTTCCTAGCCTGTGACTGAGTCATCTCATGACAGAGCCAGGCGACTGGTGTGAAAAGTGAAAAGTAAGAGTCCTGTGGTGCTGAGGAAACAGGAAGTGTGGGGGCTAGGCAGGTTGGCCCTGGAGCGAGCCAGGCCCCACTTGGCCCCACCTCCCCTGCCTGTGGGACTCAGGGAGCCCTTCCCTGTGCCAGCACCTCCTGAGGCCTGAGATGGGACAGAGGGTCAGACTCAGTACCCCATCTGGGGTCCTGAGGAGGAGAGAGTTCCAGGCTGCCCCACAGTGAGCCAGACCCTCAGACTATGCGCTGGGACCAGGATTGGAGGCTATCAGCAACACCCACCCCCCAGCCAGCCTGTCAGTTCTCAGAGAAACAAGGGGAGGCCAGGAAGGGGGTGCTGGACAGGGGCGATGCACTTCCCAGAACTTGGCCCAGAAAGACCAAGAGGCACTCTAGGAGGTGGGGCTACTTGGGCAGAGACGGGGGCTAGTGGGCAGAAGGACAGGGCCACTGGACACAGGGTGGCCTGAGGGGTACCCCCTTCCCTGCGGCCTGTGGGTTTGACCACCACTGCTTTTTGGCAGCTGGGCTGCCCATACACAGCGCACTGGGACTCCGCTATTTGCATACCCCACCCCTCTTCAAGACTCCCCACGTTCACCCACCCTCCTTCTCATTTTTCAGCACAACAAGGCCAGTCAGTCCCCCCATGGTGTCCCCCAACTCTCTCCTCTCTACGAACATTTCAGCAGCCCACACCCCACACCTGCACCTGCGGACATCAGCCAGAAGCAAGGTACAAGCCTGGGACAGGGAGGGGCCAAGTCCCTGGCTTCAGAGACCAGGTAGCAGGGTCCATTTTATAGCCAGAGAGCCTGGGGCTATGCAAACCCAGGGCCCAAAGAAAATACCAGAAAGATGGACTGGGGGCTGTGAGGGTACTGAGGACCAGGGGAAGTGGTGCCTGGTCAAAACTGGAAGCTTCAGGTTGAGGTAGGAGCCCGGCAGCCGTGCAGGGTAACTGTAAACTGCAGCCTTTCCCTCCCCCGGTGAGAAAATGGAAAGTGGTGGTTGTGATGGCTGATTCACCTCAGTCTCAGGCAAAGTCATTCTGAAATCCGCCGCTGTCAGCTGTGGGAAACCTGCTGACTTCACCTCTGGGGGGCAGGCGGAACCCTGGCTCCCCAGGCCAGGCTGCGCCCCCAGCAGAGAGGCCCCGATTATGGACTCGCAGTGGACCATAAGTGGCAAGGCCTGGTCTGCCATTCCTGAGTGACTTCAGCTCTGCCTACTGGCCAGCCTGTGTCCTTAGGCAACGCACCCAACCCCTCTGCCCTGTCAAAGGGGTACTGTTATCATACTGAGATAGTGTTGAATAAACCAGTTTATGTCTGCTTCTCTTGGAACACGAAGTAGGCTCTTAAGGTCCCTATAGGAGGCTCTAGGATGCAGGAAGTGATGAAGTGGCTCGCCAGGTCAGGCTACCCACTTACTTGGCCTCTCTCCCCTGCAGGAGTTCACAGACCTCTGCAGACCCCTGATCTCTCTGGCTTCTACTCTCTGACCTCAGGCAGCATGGGACAACTGCCCCACACTGTCAGCTGGTGAGTGTGGGCCCAGCGGGAAATGGACACCGCGCAGTAGTCGTACCTGCCCTTACGTCTTCCTCCTCCATCCTGCTGTACCGAGCTGCTGTACCGAGCACCCTCCTGCCAGCTCTGCACAGATACCAGGGCCTGACCAGCAGCTCTGTGCCAGCCTGGCTCTGGGCTAGGGGTCCTCACGGCCTCCTGGCATGGGGGCATTCCCCAGCTAGCTTGACACACTCCCTTTGTGGAGGTAGGAGAGCTGGCTCCTGGTCCCAGCCCTGCCACACCTGAACTCTCCTCAGTGGCCAAAAGACTTGGTCTCCTGGCCCCCTTGGATGGGAGAACTCTGGGCTGCTTAGGGACCTCCAGGGCCGCAAGTATGTGAGGAAGAAGAGGTGGGCCTCAGCAGTGAGGTAACAGCGTGAGTGGCCACCAGAGCGGCTGCTGCTTCTCAGCTGCCTGGCAGGCAGGGAGTACTTGCCCTGGCCTAGTGCCTGCTGCTCGCTGGTCCTTTCTTTGCTGAGTTGCTTGAGGAGTTCTCTGTGGTGCCTGCTTGAACCCAGGCCCCTGACCAGCTTGCTTGGAGAGCCTACTAAGGCTGGGCCAGGAAAAGGCAGCCTGGACCCTCAAGTCAGCAGGCTTGACTGGGTCAAAGGGCCTGTCCTCAGCTGGAGCTGGGCCAGGAAAAGGCAGCCTGGACCCTCAAGTCAGCAGGCTTGACTGTGGGTCAAAGGGCCTGTCCTCAGCTGGAGCTGGGCCAGGAAAAGGCAGCCTGGACCCTCAAGTCAGCAGGCTTGACTGTGGGTCGAAGGGCCTGTCCTCAGCTGGAGCTGGGCCTCGGCAGGCTACTTGGCCCTTTAGTCAACCGCAGTGTGACCTGCACAGGTCTCTAGCTTCTCTGGGCTGGGACAGTCACCCAACAGCAAGAAAACCTGGCTTCCCATGGAGATAGGGCAAGCCAAAGGCCCAAGCTGAGGCCCACCTGCCCCTTTCCATTTGTTCAGCACACTCTATTTTCAGATTCTCTTTGTTCCCCCAGGATCAAAGTGGGGAGACAGTGCTCAGAGCCCAGCCTAAGTGGGCTAAGATCAGCGTGCTGTAAACACACATCTCTGCTGGCCTGTCAAAAGCGTTCCATACCCCAGAAGCTCTGAAGACCAAAAGACCTGAGACTAGAGCAAACATTTACCTACTAAGGCTCTAATGAGGGGACTTCAGGAACCCTGTGCTGTCCGCTCCCACTAGGTAGCACCTGGCTGGGAGAAGAAAGGGGGCTTATTCTAGCCCCTCTCTGCACTGAGCCCAGCTGTGTGGCAGGCAGGGTTCTGGGCACGGGGGAAGCACTGCTGAAGCTGACTGACGCTTCGTTCCCTGCCCTCTCAAAACTCAGCCCACCTTGTGGGCGACTCAGGCAAGAAGCCAGACAGTTACAGGGCACTGTTAGCAATGCTTTGGTTGGGGACTGTAGGAGCCCAGAGAGGCACCTTATTCAGCTTGGGGATCTCAGGGCTTTCGGGAGGAAGGGTCACTTAGCCAAGCAAGACCTGAAGGATGAACAGAAGTTGAAGCAGGCAGAGTGGAGCAGAACAATCCAGTGTCAACAGTGGGCGCACTTTCTGACTCAAGCAGCTGAGAGAGAAGGGAGGGGAACAGTGGGTGCACAGGCCCTAGGACAGGTGTCAGCCTTGTTTTGTCAAGGAAACTTAGGAGGCCGGCTAAGCTAGGTCCTGGGAGAAAGCTGCCCTTTCTACCCCCTAAGCTCCAACACAACCCTGTAGAAGGAAACAGGTGCAGCCACAAGTTACCCCCTGGTGGTGGCAGATCCTCAGAACACACACAGGAGTGGTCCCAGCAGAGACCCATCTGTCTCACTGTGCGTCAGGTCAAGCCCAGTGGGAGAAGTCCTTCCCCATGTATGGCCGGCAGCCAGACTGCTAACACCTGTCTCTCCCAACCACAGGCCCAGCCCTCCTCTCTACCCCTTGTCCCCTTCCTGCGGATATAGACAGCACTTCCCTGCCCCCACTGCAGCCCCTGGCGCCCCCTACCCCAGGTGAGTCCCCAGCCCTGCAGCCAGGCTCCTGCTTCCTGTTGCCCAGGCTTCAGTGCCCACACAAGGCCATGCCCAGGCCAGTGCTTGCCCTGTCTTTTGTCCATCTGTCTGTCTGCCATTCTGTAGCCCCCTGTTGCCCTGTGCCTGAGAGCAAAGCTAGTGGGAACGCAAGAGGCTTCAGCCCAGGCCACACTGTGCAGCAGAGCACTGTGTGCACGCACGGCACGGCCTGTGTGCAGAGGTGTGCGTCCACCTGCTCTGCAGCCCTGCTGGGGAGGAGTGGCTCAGGACCGTCCCGGGCATCCCCTGAGCTCTGCCCCAGCTGAGGCAGCATCTTTTACATTAGCATTCCCAACCTCAGGCCCTAAGGGGCGGTCCCCTCAGGGGCACCACACCTGTGTAAGCTATATGGCGCAGAGTGGTCTCAGCAGAGCAGCAAGACAGTGCTGTGGGAAGTGGGTATGCATGTGTGCTTTCCCTCAGCTCCCTCCTCACTGACAGACCTAGCACCAGGCAGGCAGCGGCAAGGGATTCAGCTGAGGGTAGGAGGTATAGACGCAGCAGCAGCTGAACGGGCCAGCTGGGTGACCCCAGCCAGGTCCAATGGGTCAGGAAGAGGGTAGTATGTTTTGAGAGAGGACCAAGGGCGCTGCAGTGACTGAGGCTGCCTGGGAGTGGGCATTGACGGGAAGCAGAGGGGAAAGGCTGGGGCTAGACATGTCAGCAGGGATGCCTACACAGGCTGTGCAGGTCCCAGGGAGGAGCATGGTTCTTATTCTGCGGGCAGTAGGGGAATTTCAGCAAGAGCAGGCCAGGAGCATTTAGGTGTGTTTAAAAAGTCACTCTGGCTATCGTGTGGAGGCCTGGAGGGGTCAGGCAGGAGTGTGAGGAGGCCCACAAGGCAGCCACAGGCTCCCGAGGCTGGGTCAGTGAGGGGGCAGGATGTGAGAAGGGGACAGATTCAAAAGCTACTTGGGACTTAATTAGCAACTACCTAAATGGCATTCATGTAGATTTCTGCAGTGTGTCTGTGCAATGTGTTGGAAGCAGGTATTTGTATTTATCCGTGTAGTCCGGGCCAATGGGGGTGGGGTATCCGTACACCTGTGTCCTCGTGTACTCTGCAGGGGTCTCTGTGTGTGCCCAAAGGTTTGGCCTGCAATTCCTGGTTCAGTGTTAACTCTTTTCTTGCCTTTAGGTTCACTCACCCGTCCTTGATGCTCGGTTCCAGTGTACCTGGTCACCCCGCAGCCATCCCCCACCCGGCCATCGTGCCCCCCTCAGGGAAGCAGGAGCTGCAGCCCTATGACCGCAGCCTGTGAGTGAGAAGGCAAACGCTCAGGGCAAGGGAGCAAGGACGGGTGGGACGGGCAGGTGAGCAGATATACAGGCCTCCCACCAGGCCCAAGGACTGCCAGGAGGCCCCTGGCCAAGCTGTCTTGTAGCTCTGGCTACTGACTGCTGTGCTTTGATCCTCAGAATGAGGTGCTTAGGGAACAGGGATTTTGTTTGAGCCAAGAAGGGAAGGGCTGAGAAGTCCTTAACACATGTTTTTCCCACTTGGCTATGGTATGCCCAAAAGGAACAGTTACTTGGCTCTCTGCTCACCCATTTTGGGGCAGCTAAAAAAGACTCCATTTACCAAACCCTAGTGTCACATACCTAGGCACACACTGGACCCACACTAGAGGGCGGTGCCCTTAGGTGGGCACTGGGGGAGGCGGCACTCCTCAGCTATCTGAATATGTGCCCCTCAGGAAGACACAGGCAGAGTCCAAGGCGGAGAAGGAGGCCAAGAAGCCAACCATCAAGAAGCCCCTCAATGCCTTCATGCTGTACATGAAGGAGATGAGAGCCAAGGTCATTGCAGAGTGTACACTGAAGGAGAGTGCCGCCATCAATCAGATCCTGGGCCGCCGGGTAAGGCCACGGGCAAGTAGGCTGGCGTGGATGGCCCCTGACCTTCACCCTGGTGCAACCTGCTGACTCCCTGCCGCACCCCCTCTCCTCTCCTTCCCTACTGCAGTGGCACGCGCTGTCTCGAGAAGAGCAGGCCAAGTACTATGAGCTGGCCCGCAAGGAAAGGCAGCTGCACATGCAGCTGTACCCAGGCTGGTCGGCACGGGACAACTACGTGAGTGGCCAGTGACACACAGCAGGGGCAGTCAGGGGAACCTTTGAGATAACATGTGCCAGGGCATAGCCTCAACGGGGAAGGCAGAACTGTCTTGAAGGCACAGAAGAGGAGGGTCCATGGCTTGCTCAGGAAAGGCCAAGCCTAAGGAGCTGCCCTCTAACGGCAAGCTCACATCCTGTTCTCCATTCCAGAATGCGCTCACGCATCGGGGGCTGTCACCCACTATTTGATTGGGCTACATGGGCAGAAGGGCCTCGGAAGGGGCTTGGGATTCACCTCCCCTTCATTCAAATTGGAGACCAGAGTGGGAGAGGGAGCCCCTAAAATGCACTCCACAGCAGCCGAGCAAGAACTACAATCAAGGAACACCAGGGCCTGACAGTAGGAGGGGTCTGTAGCCCAGACTCTGGGGGGCAGCCAGGCTGGGAAGCAGGCTACAGACATCCTAGTGTCCATCTCCCATATGTGAGCATCCCTTCTTTTGTTCCCTTGCAGGGGAAGAAGAAAAGGCGGTCGAGGGAAAAGCACCAAGAATCCACCACAGGTGAGGCCTTCCTTCAGCAGTGGAGATTCTTCTCCATGCCCTCATTCAAGAGCAGCCCTGCTCTGGCCCAGAGGGAAAGGCCAAATCCCCATGCAAGAAACAGCTATGCTAAGTCCCAGGGAAGACCAGCAGAAGCCAATTCATGTGGCAGGTGGTATGGTCCCCTGCCCTGTGCCCACCCCCAGCCCTGCTGAAGGCCTCTACCAGAGAAGCTAGCCTGTATAGTTCAATGCATCCTGGCTGGTTCTGCTGGGATCGAGAACAGGCTGTCCAGTTACAGGCTGAGTCAGGCCCCATGCCTAGGCCCAGCAGTCACACAGCCTGCTGGCTAAAGCCTGGCAATTTGTCACCCTCCCCCATGCCCATTTTTCATAGCCATGCAAAGTGCTCTGTGTAGAGAAGGTCTCATACGCTGGTGCAGGCCTTCTTCCTGTGGGTGAACTCCTGCCAACTCTGATAAACTCAGAGTCCATATCCATTCAGTTGTGCTGCCCCAACACAGGGAAGTTAGAGGATAGGACTGGGACAGGCCAGGGCAGAGTCCGCAGTCCATTCTCTGAGGTGAGGAATGGGCCCTTCTTTCCATCTGGAAATGTGTAGGACAGGCATAAGCTATGGCCTTAGCCTTATCCTTTGGGGGAATATGGGCCAGGCCAGATTGGGCATTGCCAAGAAAGAAGAAAAGCTGGATAAATGGGTAGGGAGTTGGAGAGGGGAATGGGCACGCCCCTTAAGGCAGAAGAGGCTGGATCCTCATGGGCTTCCCTGGGCCCTTTCCCCTATCGTCTCTACATGCTGTAAAGAGCCCCACAAGCCACAGAGAGGAGCTAGCCTGAGAGGCTCCCCCTTCCTATCCCCCCATTCTTCCCACTGCCCAGCTGGGTACCCACCTTTGCTGATACCTTGCTCTGGGCTCTTGGGCTGGCTGTGCCATGGAGAGGTCCACTCTGCCTACAGGGTCTGCGGGGTGTCTGTAACTGGCTAACATTGATGTTACCTCTTCTTTCTGGGCCCTGCTCTGCTCTGCTGCCTGCCTGCTCGCCCTCTGCCCTGCTCATGCCCCTCTGGCATGCCTGTGCACAGACCCTGGCTCGCCTAAGAAATGCCGTGCTCGCTTTGGCCTCAACCAGCAGACGGATTGGTGTGGTCCGTGCAGGTGGGTTTGTCCCCACCATCATCCTCCTTTTGCTTCAAGCTGCTTCCCTGACTCTGTACATGTTCTGCTGGGCCTGCAGCCCACTCCTTTGGCCCCTCAGCCCCCTAGCATACCCAGCAGATTGAGGAACCTGTACCCACTAAGAATGGGAGTAAACACCGAACACATATTGTGGAGATCACTTTGGTCTAAGTGGGAGGAGTAGTGGAAGAAAACAGAGAGAATGTTCTAAAAGGCAGGCTCGAGGAGGTGGCTCTAGTGCTAGCCAGGCCTAGCTGGTCCTCAACAGACAACTCTCTCACTACTCTCACCAGCCACCTTCCTTCTTCAAGTTAGGATCCCTCGCTGTAATATTCTGAGCCCTAAATCTGAGAAAAACAAAATGACAACAGTACAAACTACCTCAATAATCTGGTTGCCAGGTAGCCTTGTGACTCGCTGTCTTGCACCTACTGAGACCAGAGGGCTGGAGAGGAGCAGGGGTACCACTGGGCTGTCTTAGGCAAAGGGCCCTGTGGCATCACTGAGCCTGTGTGTTTCATCATACAACAGAGAAATACTTGTGGGTATGAAAAGATTTACTCACCAAGTGGTTCGAATTGCCTCATTTAGGTTTAAGCCAGGTCTGGCAGAGACAAGACCAAGGGTACTCCAGGCAGTTAGGTCACTTGCTCAAGGAACGCTTGTCCAGCCCCTCAATGGATCCCACCATTCCCTGTCCGAGGGCAAAGAGGAATACTGCCGGGGCCAGGTGGGGTGCCCACATGTGTGCACAGTGGGAAACAACCCTGTCCTCAGAGGAGGTCCCGTTCCCTCCTTCTGTGCTACTCAGAGACAAATTGTGGCCCAGAGAATTCTGGTAATGGTTGAGAAAAGTACACCATTCACTTCTTCCCCCACCCCGCTCTAAGGACTAGGGTTGCTCAGCACAGAAGCCACAGGCCCTGCAGCCCACTGCCTTAATGCAGACGTGAGCCTCACAAACTCGCCTGAAGCAGCTCAAAGGCCAGGACTAGGAGATGGCTGCTGTGGAGAACAGGAGGCATGCCCTGCTACACAAAAGGCCCCTGCGCCATCCTGTGGCTGTTCTGGGAACTGCACTCGTACTAGTTCTGGGCCAGGCCAACTGTAGTCTGAGCAATGCTGATTCAGGTCAGAGGGCATCGACATGTTACCACCCAAGTCACGGGGAGAGAGGGGACAAGAGATCAGCCGGCCTGTGCAAAGACAGAAGTTTTTGGTTGTGGTGTATGACTATGAATTCACCCTCTGTTTACAGATAACTCTCTTCACTATTCCTAGGAGGAAAAAGAAATGCATTCGGTACTTACCCGGAGAAGGCCGCTGCCCCAGCCCCATTCCTTCCGATGACAGTGCTCTAGGCTGCCTTGGGTCCCCAGCTCCCCAGGACTTGCCCTCATACCTTCTGCTGCCCCGAGTGCCCACAGAACTGTTTGCTAGCCCTGCAGAAGTGGCACCTACGTCCCCAGGTCTCAGCCTCCCAGCCCCAGTGTCCCCACAGGTGCCCTGCAGCGCTCTACAGAGTACACAGGTACCGCAGCAGGAATCTCAAAGACAGGCGGCCTAGCAGGCACAGGACGCCTGGCTTCCTCCAGGTGCCCACCCACCCAGGAGGAAGCAGCAGAGGTCCAAATCACGTGGAAACCAGCTAGGGGTCCTGTTAACTCCATCTCAGTGTCCAGACCCTGAAGATTTCAGAGGCCACGCAACTTCTGCCTGAACCTGAGGTCATCAATTCAAAATCCTCTGAGTGGTGGGAATCAGATCTGTGTTGATGTGTCATCTCATTAAGGGCAACTCTTGTACCTACAGCAGCCTGCATCTATTCTTTTTACCATCTGTCTTACTGGCCAGAAGCCTCTGCCTCCTTGCTTTTCTGCTATAGGTCATAGATGGGCTGGACTAAGCCCAGCTACCTTCTCCACCCTTGCCTTCCATGCCACCACTGCCACACCTCCCCACACCAGACACTTCATAGACCAAGAATAAGCTGGTTTGTCAAATAGGTGAGCATGGTCACAGCCACAAAGCTCAAGATGACAGCACTTCTCTCCTAAGGGAATGGAGAAGCTGTTTACAGAAAACCAGCTGCTATTCCTAAGCCTCTTACTGTGTTCTCAGGCGCTTGTAAGACGCTGGCGTAGGGAATGCAATAGGTTAAGTTTAGGCCCGTGAACCTCGGCAACAGCAATCACCTGACACTACCCTGGGAGGCAAGTGTGGGTGGAGGGGGGTATCTGGCTCTAGTTCAAATTACTTGGAAATGTTTCCCGAGAAAGTCATCAGCATAAGCAGCTCTGATACTAAGGCCTCAGGCCTGTTAGCAGCAGCTACAGTCAACAGGTGAAAATAGTCACAGCCCAAATCTAGTGTGCATCCCTCATTTCCCGAGCCTTTTTCACAGTTCCATTTCCAGCTCATCCATGGCAGCCTAGCCAGCTCTGGGGCAGCTGCAAGCAAGGGCAAACCCTAAACCCAGGCTACAGCCTGTCTTCCAACATTCAGACCAGCTTCCGTTTCCCTGGGAGACTATAGGAAGGAGGACCATTGCAACTAAAGTAAGGAGCCCAGAAAACTCCTAGTGGTGGTGAACAGGTTTTCACCACAGCCTACTTTAACCTATTTTTGAGCCAAGCTTCAACCCTGAGCCTTGAAAACAAGTTTAAGTGAACTTTGGTTTTTGCCATCTCTTCACTGTACATAGCCTGAATCCAAAGAAAAAGGGCGGTCGGTGTACTGACACACATCCCTCAAGAAAAGCCTTCAGTTCCTACTGTAGCCACTGGTTTCTCAGAATCCAAAGACCACATACTCTAGTGTAACGTTACAAGAAGTATTGAGAAACAAGGACCATTGTAGTGTTTAAGATATTTTTGTATTGTTAATACATCATCATAGAAAACTTTTTTAAACATGAGAGAATAAAGATACTTTTTACTGGGTTTGTTTTTCAAAGCTTGACCCTGAGGAGTAAGCTGTTTCAGCAACAGAGCATGACACACTTTCCTTTTCTGCAGTCACAACACTTAAGAGTTTATTCCCTATGTGTCCTTATGGGACACATGTCCCCAAACTTCCAACTTGCAGAAGCCAGAGATGACCTTTGTCACCTCTGCTAAAGGGGTTTGCGGCCATCCTCCCATTCAAGCCTTGCTCTTAACCTCAGTCGTCTGACCCTGTAACTGATGCAGGACCACCTGCTCCCCAGTGCTCACCAGAATAAATGACTAGAAACTGCCATCCATAAATCTTCAAAAGACAATCCACCCTGAAATAGGTACACATGACCACAAGGCTCCATTATCCTCTGAGGGCAGAGAGAAAAAAGACAAAACATTCTACAAACGTTACGTCTTATTTCAAGGAAATCGAGAGTCTTTTATAGCCTGGTATCACCATAGAATCCTAAAGAATATTTTTTCAACATTAAAATCCAGATCCCAATATAAATAAAGTATATTTTAATAGCACCCTTACCCCCCAAAGACTATCTAAAACAGTCTTATGAAGTATTTTTAATAATTTCACACAAGACCTCTGATGTTTGAATGAGAAATCTACACCCTACTTTTTACATGGCAGTTTCTATGTCGAAGTATTTTATGTTTATAAATACTTATAAATTCACCTTGCAGAGTAGTCGCTATTTAAAGTAGGCTACCACTGGTGGCAACCCAGATGTGCTGCTTCCTGGGAGGGTGCTGGCAGAGATAGCCATTCTCAACATCTGGCCCATTTAAAAGAGTTCTGTTCTGGCTGGCCTGGTTTAAAAACTACATTCTAACCAGGGCTTATGCAAGACTGGATTGCTGCATCTGATTTGGTGTCTCCTTTAGAGTACACCAGGTCCGAGAACAACATGCCCTCTGTATGTGAAAGTAGAGAGGGGTTCTTTGGCAACTTTGTTTAAATCAGACCAGCCTTTAAAAAACAAAAAACACCTACTTCAAAAAGGAAATTCAAATCCTCCCAAATCACACTGGCACATTCCTATGAGACCAGAGGGTGACCAGATTGCAACCTCAAGTTCCACTTCAAATACTACACCAATCCTCCCCTCTGGCCCCCACTGCCAGCCAAGAACAAACCCTGTTTACTGAGACATCACAGGACAAGATACCCCAGGCTCCCTTATACATTCCCAATTTGCTTGAAATATGGATCTTGATCCCTTCCCCCACCCACCCATGCTGCTCCTCTTCCTGTTCTCAATGTACGTGGGGAGGGTTCGGTCCAGAAAGACAGCTGGGCCTTCCCATGTCTCAATCTGAAGGTGTTTCCTTTCACAAGAGCCCTGTGGCTAGGCTCTCTTCTGACAGGTAAACTATCTTATGAATGGCTCCCATGACATCAAGTTCCTCTTGGCTGTGGAGGCCTGAGCTGGCTCAGAAGTGTATACGAAGCCTGGCTAGGAAGGCCACAAGTAGATGGAATCAGACTGGTTCTTTACATCAATTGTTTACATCCATGTTACATTCTGGTTGTTTACATCATTTCTAGGAAAACACAGAAGGGGCGAGGGTAACAAGGCCATGTCAAACTCCTACTTGCCAGGCTTATATGTCAAAGTAGAAGAATTTAAGACCCAAAACTAATTACATTAAAAGCTCAGTTGGCTTTTCTTTGAAGTTAGGAAGGCAGCTTTAGCAATGACTTTTTCAGGTCTCTTTAGAGCTTTCTTAAAGCTCTTTAGGGCTTTAAGAGTTCACCAAGGGTCTCTGAAACAGCTGCCCACCCAAGCAGACCCTGGTTGTTATTAACTCCCCTAATCACAACTATTACAATCACCTTTTTGTTCCAAATCTCAAATTACCCTGTAGGCTTTTTTTCTTTCTTTTAAACTCAAGCTTTTGAGCTTTCTAATGGTCCAGAGCAGCTAACAGAACTTTACTGGTCTACTTGTCCACAACTGGCAGTGGGCATCTGAAAAAAGCCCTAACTTAATTTACTCAAATGCCAAGGAGTTTTGAAACAGAATAACGTAGGTGGTGGGGATGTTCCCATAGTCAGGCCCATAAATAAAAGCCTAGCTCAGGTCAAGGGAGCATTTTCAAACTGTTAAAGATAGCACCGGATTGGACGCAGAGTTAACTGGAAAAGGCAAACTCTGTCCTGGGGGTAGGAACCACCCTATCCCTAGCAGTCTTCATGAAGCAGATCACTAGCAATACTAGGTAAGAGACGTTTCACTTCTGAAGATGAGACAGTGGCTGTGCATATGGGAGACAGCTGCTAGTCTAGGTCCACACTTCTATCACATTCAACAGAGGCTCTGGACCAGATCTTCCTTTTTCATTGAGGTGTTCCCTCATTCTTTCATCTGAAGCCTTTTTCTTTCAAGCATGTGCAGGCAATGTCAGGATGCACAGGGTGGAGTGGGGAATAGGAAGGAGTAGGAAGAGCTAGGTTCTACCTCCCCCACCCCCCCCCTAAAAAAAAAAAGCCACTCGGGGAAACCTCTGCATTCCCACCCCTTTTCAGTAAGCTTCCTGGGACAGAAAAATTTGCAAAGTGATGAAAGCAGGTTAGAGGTTGTGAAGTGGCATACTCAGGACAGAAAGGACAAATAAATTTTCACCAAATGGGTGGGAGGTATTAAAAGTGAAAGCACTTTTATGAAATAAGCTGACCCTCAGTACAAAACCAGAGGATAGCAAGTTACGTGTTCAGTACATACTTACTGAAAATTTAAAGCTGAGAGATGTTAGGAGGTCACAAAAAGTACAGATGTGGAAGCAGATACTGTCAAAAGCAACTACATTTCTCCCTCAAAATGCCTCTCAATAGTGGTGCACAGACCAGAGGTGGCCAACAGTGTATAGTACCTGCAAGGCAATAAGTATGTCACCTGTGAATTAACCAACTGTCACTCAAACTAAATCCCACATTGGAAATATATCAAGCAAGAGGCCCTTCAACAACTTTACACCACCAACAATGCTCTTCTCCACTGACAGCTCAGCAGGAAAGGTAACATTCACCAAATCCTGCTTGTATGACCAAACAGCTCAATCTTGGGCCAAGGGACATGTTCTAAACTACGTCTTACACCATACTTCATCCCACTACACACATCTAGTTCTTACTCATTCTCTTTACCCATTGAAGGCAGTGACGTTTAATGGTAAACAAGAAGAAGTCGTGAGGACTCTAGTTTTAAAATCCCCAACATTCAGAAGAAATCAGTTCAACACCAAAAAGGTTTAGTTCAAATGCTCAAAAACTGCCCTTCCTGATGCGGGTCTGATGAATATGCTAACGAAATACTCCAGTTCCTAAAGTGTCAAAGTACTATTGCTGATCTGGCCCTAATTTCTCTTTCTAGTCTACATTCTCTGGGAAATCTACCAATACCCAGCCTTCTCTGCTGCTAGTTCTAGACCTAGCACGCCTTTCCTCCTCACCTTGGCATTCCCTCCACCCTCAACAAAATCCAGCTGAACTTGTGAAACCAAATTAGTTTCATTTCACAGACTCTTTCCTAGACTCTTCCAGCCCGGTACCCCCATTTGCTCATTTACCTTGCTCTGTCTAGGAATATTTTTATTAAAATTATTCACTCCTTCCCAGCATTATTTATGCCTTGTCTCCTGAACTACACCAAAAGCTACAAAGAGGGAAAACCATGTCTTCTGTTTCCTACAAAGAGAAGCCAGGCCCATACATTAGGGATTCAGCCATTTCACAAGCTTTCCCTTTACTTGAAATCTTCTTTTTCTCTACTTTCTTTGTTGGAAATCAGTTACACAAATCCACATAACTGAAGATTATTTTTTTAAACACTAAAAACAACTTTGTAGGGAGAATATTTATTTGGTTGATTCTTTCCTACCTGAATACATATCGAGTTGGGGTTGTTCTTTTTTTTTGGACACAGCGTCTAGCTCTGTCACCCAGGCTAGATTGCAATGGTGTCATCATAGCTCACTGCAACCTCAAACTCCTGGGCTCAAGAAATCCTCCAGACTCAGACTTCCAAAGTGCCAGGATTAGAGGTATGACCCACCATACCTGGCTATACTGAGCTTTAGAAAGAGAAAAATCAAAAAGATCTTCAAATGGAAATGGTGGCATGCAAAAGTTAAGCTTCCAAAGATGAACAAGATTCCAAAAGCCATGGATTAGGTAGGTAAAGGATGCTCAGAACAAGAGGTTTGCTTCTCTCTCAATCCTTTCTCCTTCCTGGTGGAAACCACTTCATATCCCCAAACTGCCTTATTGAGAGCCTAGGCAACTTACATAAATTGTAGAAATTTATATTGGGATCAGAAAACAAAACATAGGATTGGCCGATTTTTAAGTAAACTAAAAGATTATGTGGTTTGGAATATCTGCCTGCCCTAAGTCAGATGCCCATGGTGACTCATTGTTACTCTCCTCCCTCTCTAGCTAGTTCTAGCATAAGCTCAGCATTATAGTGACAACATATTACAAGACTGCAGTTATCTATCCATCCACCAAGTCACATTATAGCTCTTGCTTCACTCCAGGAGCTAGTGTGTTGTGACAGCTGTAAACAAATCAGAGTTATAACGCCACTTAGGGAGCTGCAGCTTAAAGAGATGATTCTGTGAATACTTGGAAAAATATAAAAATTGCAAAGCAATACCTACTTTGCATATTAAGAGATTTATAAAGGTGAGCTAATAAAATAAAACAGGCACTTCAAAAGAGATAACTTGCTGCCACAATGTAAGAATCAGAATTTGTTTGAGGGGAACATC